TTGGTCCCTGGGAGCCACCATAATTTCCAGCCGGGTGTGTGCCCACAGAACAGCTGCTGTAGTGCTGGCGACACAGCAAGTCACAAGATGGCCCCCTCCCTCTGATCCCCATCATTTTTGCCCTGCCTGCTTGCTGTGGTGCCCAAAATGCCACCATCAGCCACTCTTTGGGGAGTTGTTCCTATTGTAAATGGGCGTAGGGTGAATAAAGTTGATCAAGCTTTTTACGCCATTGGCCTCTGTGGCTACCACCTGCGGCCTTTATCTTGTTAATGTAGAAGGTGCATGGGTGTGGGGCACGCATGCCTGATTAAGGACACCTGAGCATGGTGTGCGCACATGTGCAAGTGTGCACACCTGTGCCTAAGAGGGAGGGGATAAAAGCAGGGTGTCACCTGGGGAGGGGGCCTCAGCTTGCTGTCTCCCTGCTGGCTTGTTACCGTTAAAACCTCTGAAGATGATGCCAAGGGCTCCAAAATTCTCTTTCAAATTGCTAGACCCAAGGGTGAACCCACAGACCTGGGACCCGAGGGTGAACCCACAGGCAGAACAGTGGGGAAGGGAGAAGCATCTTGATCCTAACGCAGTTACCCTGAAGAACACAGGAGGCAAGGTTTTGATGGAGGAATGAAAGGGATGTGACTGAGGGAGGTCACAGCTCTGTGAAGCTGTCCACAGCCTCTGCAGCATGAGTTCGATCCCCAGCTGGCTAGGGAGCAACCCACTGGCGAGGCAGACCTCTCCTGTCTCGCCCGCTGCTCCCCTCAGCAGTGTGTTTCAGTCAGTCTGCCTGTTCTGCTCCCCACTCTGTCTCTGGTGAATCCTCTCACGCCCACACCTCTGGCCTGTACCCCAGCTCTTGTGTGCATAAATAAATAAATCTTTAAAAAAAAAAAAAAGAAGAGGGAGGATGAGGGGGGTGGGTTCAACTTGGCAAACTGCGCGAGACTACCTCAAGCTAGAACCTTAGAACTAGGGGCTGCCTCCACAGCCAGGGCCACTCTGGCTGAACCAGTGGGGAATGGGCACCCTCAAGGTGGGGATGAAGGGAGCTGTTTGGTGAGTTGGAATGGAGGTGGGGCCAGCCTCAGGCTCAGCAAGTTTTGCCCAAGTCTTGACCCGCAGCCCCACATACATGGCCTGCTGGCTCTGCTTTTTCTGGGACCTCTTGGGACCATCACCTGCACTTCCCTTCTCCCTGTGGCAGGAACAGAACTGCTGGGCCCAGGACCTCATTCCTGGTTTGTAGTTCTGGCAGTTTGGTTGAGGGGGGAGATGGGGTTTGGCTTGAGGTTTGCAATGGGCAGAAAAAGTATGCTTGGGGTTCAGCCTACAGGGAATGGGGGAAAAAGTCCCTTCTCTGAGAAAGAGATTCCCGCACTCCCAACAGTCTGAGGGCCAAGTCTAGTGCCATAGTATCAGGGGCCATACTCCATGCCCTCATTTACCTGCATCTCCCTGTGGTTGCAGCACCTTCCTGGCCACAGGTGTCCCTGCTCCAGCTGCTCTGCTCTGTTGCCAGTAAGGGAGGCACCAGGTGAGGCCAGGCACCATCTGTCAGTTGCAGGGACTGTTGGTTTTAGGCCAATTCCCCCTTCTCCTTGGGATGGAGGACAGAGGAAGGCATCCAGCTCTGGGTGCCTGGGGCTGTGGGGGCCCTGGCCACTCCCCTTCTCTCTGCTCAGGCTCCAGGGTCCCAGGGGATGGGGCGGGGAGATTAAAGGTTGCCTGGAAAGGCTGGGAGTTGGGAGAGGTCTGAGCCTGGCTAAGTCCCGCAGGCTGGTGCCTCCCCCTCTGAGCCTGTGTTCTCACTGCAGAGTGACAGGTTGAGCTCAGCGGCATCTCAGCAGCCATCCTGGAGTCTGTGACACTGACCAGCATGCTTCGCTGGGCTGTCCCCACCCCAGAGAGAACTTCCTGTGCCCCTCCTCTCTGAGGAGTTGCAGTCCCGGACTCTGGGGGCACCCCTGCACCCCGGACGTGGGGGCACTTCTCTGAGCACCGCCTGCCTCAGCCCTGCCCTTGCCCTTCCTTTCTCCTTCCTCTGTGCTCCTTTTCCTTACCTGGCAGGAGGCCTCTCAGCCGGCCCCTCGCCCCTGCGTGCTGACTGGGCACCAGGACCTGGGTCCTGGTCTCCGCTCTGCCAGGTGTAGGGTAAGGTAAAAAGCATCAGGCTTTTCTGCCCTCTGCCATCAGGGTAGATGATGGATCCTTGAGGTCCCGAATGCATGCCTGATGGCGGGCACCTGGAGTAGGGTTTGGGCGTATGTAGATGGGATTCACCTGGGCTGAGACTGGGCTTTTAAGGGCGGCATCATGCAGATGCCAGCAGAAGCAGAACGAACAGGAGAGAAGCAGAGAAGCAGGAGGAGGACCACGAGGAGTGGAGAACAAGACCACCAGAGAACGCCGGAGAGCCCAGGCAGCGTGAGGACTTGCTGGGGGCTGGGAGGCAGCACCCCTGCCTGCTGTGTGCCTGGTAAATCCCAATAAAAGCCTGCAAAACTACTGAGGGCTCCAGGACTCCTCCTTCACCCGGCCTGCTGGAGCAGAAAACCCGCTCAGTGCTCCTTCCTGCCCTTACATCAGGTGATTGACCTCCAGCTAGAAACCAAGCCTCTCTGGGCCTCAGGACAAGGCAGGAGGATCCCCCAGGGCCCACAGCTTTCAGACTTGGTTACAGCTAGGCCAACAGTTTTGGGGCCCCAGGACCTGGGATTTCTGCTTCTGGTTCCAGCCTCCTGAAAGGCCTTTCTTGTCAAGACGTCAGAATAGGAAGCCCCCGGGCCTCCAAATCGTCAACTCTTTCCCTACTTCACCTAAGTCCTTGGGTGACGGCAGCATTTTGTAACAGTGAGTAACGTGATAGAAATGTGAAAATTTTGAAAACTAGGAGACAGATCTATTCTGCATCTAGGGTTAAAAAAAAAACAAAACAACCCACGCCATTTCATCCAGATAGAAAAAAAAATCAAAGGAAAATAAGCACATTTCAAAGTAAATCCTTCCCCTCTTCCTGCTATTTTTTAAGAGGACACAACTCTTTCTGCAATGCCCTGCGCCCCCCACCCCCCGCCCCGTTCTGCTCTTCCCTTCCTTGTGTGATTCAGGGTCCGGGGGACACTGGTAGGATCTCAGGTGTCCCGGAGTAAGGAGGAAAAAGATGCTCAGCGGGCAATGACGACCTCCCTCTAGGCCAGCCCTTTCCCTCCTGCCGCTCACATTTAAGCCTTTGACAAGGCCCTTTGCAGCTGACCTCCTGGCGCTGGGTTGGAGGTGTGACCAGAGCGAGGATCCAGGCAGGAAGGGAGGGGGCCCAGAACGCTACCCAGGTGTGAGCAGTCAAGCCTCCAGGGAGGCCTCTCTGGCGGGAGGCAAGGCCGGTCCCTGGAGCCCCTGTGCCCAGCTCTGTGCTGCCAGGAGACCTTTTCTCTCTTGTTTTCTGTTCCTGCTGCCTCCCCAGAGAGAAGGACCCAGAGCTAATGGTCTTGTTAGATGCCGAGCAGGCCATGCCTTGGGATTCAACGCTAGATTTCCAGAGTCCTAGGCCATCATGGGTAAACCCTTGGTAATCAGTTAACTAGATCTCTGGTCCCTTCCGCCAAAGGAGGGGGAAACGGAGGCCTGGTGGGGAGGGTGATAAAGACCTGCTCAGGGTCACATCCTGCCTTCCCTTTGTGAGTCACCTCTGATAGCCGGAGATGGGGGAGGCTTGGCTCACAATCACCCAGTGCATATAGAGGGTGGTGTGGAGCCTTGGGTGCTCAGCCCCCACCTTGGATCACAGTTCTGGTGGCTGCTCATTGAAGTGGTCCCCAAAGCCAACAAGCCTTTCCCAGGAGGCCCAGTGAAGAGCTCGGCTTTAGTCTTGGATAGGCCTGGGTCTGCTTTCCAGCTCCGCGGAGCTGACCATGGGTGCACCACGGGCCCGCCTCAGTGGTTGCATAAGACTTGCTTGATGACCACGAAGAGGGATTTGAGTGGGGTTCTGTCATCCTCTGAGCTCTCTCCTGACTGGGTAACACCTCTGCTAAACCCTTCCGCCTCCTGGAGGCTGGGCTGCCTTTGTCTCTTCACTTACCTATGCTAAGTGTGGGGACTGACACCTGCAGATCCTTTCATTAAGGTATCTTCTGGGCATGTCATACCTCTGGGCAGTGCCCTGACTTCCCAGAATCTCTAGCTGGGTGTGCACATGCGGCTCCTCCAGGTCCCCGTAGACACCTGGAGGCCAGGTGCGAAGGCAGGAAGCTGTCAACGTTTCTTAGACTTGGTGCTGAAGTCCAGTGGGGAAGGGCAGGAAGGGCCATGGAGGGGGGTTCTTTTCTCCCGGGGAGAGACGAACAAGGAAAGATCCACTAAGATGGAAGGGCACGGTTTGGGGGAGTAATGGGAATCTGAGAGCATGGGGTGGGGCAAGGTGCTTGAGGATACTCTAGGCTCAAGATCACCCCATAACATCAGTGGGGTGTGCTTCCTCTACACCTGCCAACATCCCGTCCTAATTCACATCCACACCCTCTTCCTAGAACTCTAAAACAGTCAGTAACGGGTGCTTCCTCTCTTCTCTCCCCCACCTCCAAGCTATAGGTGTGTCCGAGGGCATCCGTCTACCCTCCCCACTCTGCAGGTGAGGAGACAAAGGAAAGGGCCTTCGGGTACAGTACAGAACTGAGAGCAGGCCTTGGGCTCCTGTTTCCTGGGCAGCTACTCTGATACCCACAGGGGACCCAGCAGCCTTCCCACTCCAGCGCACACAGCCTGTGTGTCTGCACTTGGGGCGCTGCCACCTGGACAGGATGCTTCCCCATCAGTCAGGGGTGGGGTGACCACCTACACAGCAGACCTGGGCGCCTTCCTGGCCTAGGGAGTCCCACAGCCCTCACAAGCCACAGGAGGAACAGACTCTTTAGGGCCAGAGCCAGCCCAGACCCTAGCCCAGAGGCTCAGAAAACCCACACAGTTCTAGGCACTGACTCCAGGGGCAGCTCTTGGTAGGGCTCCCCAAGAGCACCGCACTTTGCAGCTTACCAACAAATCCCCATTTTCCATGTGAGAAACCTGAGGCCCAGAGAGGTGAAGTGATTTCTCTAAAGTCAAACAGTGATAAAGTCTGGATTCAAGCCCAGGTGTGTGACGCTCTAGAGACCAGGCCCTTGCCACGATCTCATGAATGCCCCTCTGTCTCCTCCCAGGGCTGCCACCACTCACTCCTCTAGGAGGAGGCAAGCGCTGGCTTGGAACTCATTTGTAATGAAGGTCCAGCCCCACTGTGGGAAATGAGCCTACAAGCTAGTCTCTCCTCTCTCTGAACCTCATTTTACTTCTTGTGTAAAATGGGCATAATACCATCTAGCCAGAAGGGTGACTTTGTGGGTTACCCCTGGTCATGTCTGTGTGCTGCCTAGGGCAGCACAGGTGTGCCTTTATGTTAGTCAAAATGAATGGAACTGACCACTGACATCCTGTAGCTTAATTTAATACAAATTCATCATAACTCACAAAATGGGCAACATTTAAAATAAAAATACTGCTGGGAGTGGCCCAGATTCTGGTAGCTGAAGGGGAGGGATCAGACTGAGAATTCTTGCTAACTAAGAAAGGCCACAGTAGGGAGCACTTATGAGGTGGGAGATCCCCAAGTTCAGTTAGCCTGGCTCCTTTGGAATGGGTGTGATCAGAGACCCCAAGTTCAGAGTCTAGACCTCAGGACTGGAAAGAGAAGCCACAGCTGGAGAGAGATTTCAGCTCTGTCCGTAGGTCCATCCCTTGGGCTCCGTCCCCTGCATGGGCCAGAGTCCCAGAGTAGGACACTTGGTGTTTCAAAGCCAAGGCCTAGAGGTGGATGCCAGTGGGAAAAACCATGGTGGGTTTGTTCAACATGCATTCTAATTTCCTTCTATGTGCATTTTTGCATGGCTGAAGCTGGAAAGACGAAAACTATAATTCCCAGACTCTTTGCAGCCAAAGTTCTGGATCTGATTTAAGTTTCCCCAAACAGAATCCCTTGTAGAGATTCAAATTTGGGAACTGAATTGAGTGGGAGAGAAACAAGCCTCAGGACATCCGTTGGCTGGCACAGATGGTTCTGCAATCAGCAGCTTCCTGATGCGATGGCTTTCTGCAGATGGTAGCGGTGTCCCTGATCATGCTACGTGTGATGAAGCTATCTGGCAGTAGTTCTTGGAAATTCAGCAAAGCGTCTGCTCCTCCAAAGATGTTGCAAAGCCACTAGGCACCCGGTAATAAATACTTGCTAATGGAAACTGTTTTCTGCAACAGGATCCCAGCTGAGATAGATCCTAAGCCTTATGTGGAGTCCCAGCCAACAGCACCAGTGCTCGGGTCCTGGTCAAAGCCACTGCTCCCGAAGCCTCCCATACCCCGGTCAGGCCCCAGAGGCCTGGCTGGATCCTTATTCAGAGTTGCTGGGGACCTCCATCACCCAGGGATGCAGGTGCTGTCGCCATGGCGTTCTACATCGGCCTTGGGGTGCATCCCAAGGCACATAGCTATAGAGTATCAATGCTGCCTTCAGACCTGTGGTGGACAGACCTGTGGCACAGTGAACACAATGTGCGCTCAAACACCAGGTGTCTTGCACAGGCCATGACATCCTCTCTACCTGGAGATAAGGACAAAAACAGGAGCCACGAAGCTCTTGGTAGGGGAGAGGTTCTCAGACAACTCTAGGACCACCTGCTTACTGCCTAGGTCCACTCTGCGCTGGGGTCAAGGCTAAAATGGTCCCTTTCTAGCTAGGTCAGGGGCAAGTCTTAGGTCTGGGAGCACAAGAGGATTCTGTGTATCTTTCAGGCTGCCAGTTGTTGGCAACACCTGGATACACTCTGAGGCCAGGGCATGTGGGTAGGAGGGAGGCATAGGGAAGCCTCCCACCTCCCCAGCTGCTCCCGACAGGAGGGGGATAAGGGTGGGGCAGGCGCTGCCCTGGGGAGAAGTCACATCACATCCTCGGACCAAAGCTACGTCCCAATTACGGTCACAGCTATAGAACATTAACGCCGAAAGAAAGTTTAGGAATCACGGAACACAGCCTCCATTTCACAGACCGGGAAATAGAGGCTGGAGGGTAAACAACAGCCCGAGGTCTCGGGGTGGCCAAGCTGGGCCAGAGTCCAGGCCTCCCATCGGGGTCACCGCTCTCGTGGGCGGCCACCCCCGGCGCCCGCGGTCTCTCGCAGCCACACTAGATGCGCACGGTGTTGATCCGCAGGGGCTGCACGTTCTTGCCATTGGCGTGGCTCTGCCCAGGGCTGAAGTAGGAGCAGAGCTTGCCCGGGAACTTCTCGCGGAAGGTGTAGAGCCAGGACATGTCGTCGGCGTTGTAGAAGATGAGCAGGCCCTGGTCGTAGTCCAGGAAGACGCCTACCTTGTCAAGCTTGTCGCGGACGTTGAGCCGCGTCCAGGGCTCAGTGCAGGCGCTGTACTGGTTGCCATCGTGCATGACAATGCAGTAGAAGCCGCGGCTGGGCTGGATCTGGATGCTGCCCTTGCGGCTTGCAGCCTCGTGGGCCAGCCCGATCACCCACTGGGTCTTCTCCGCCACCACCACCTCCCAGTAGTGGACGCCCCCACTGAAGGCCTCGGAGCCCAGCACCGACACCTCCACGTCAAAGCGCTTTGGGGAGTCCTGCAGCGGCTGTGGGTGCAGGTTGCCGTAGGCCACGATGGTGCAGTCATCAGACAGGATCAGGCGCTGGTGGGCTGTGCCTGGGTCCAGCGTCAGGGCGGCTGGCACTGGGGGAGGGAAGATGAGTGAAGAGAAGGCTGTAGAACCCACTCTGCGTGCCTCCCTGAAGGCAGGTTCTGGTTGGTCCCCAGGAAGCTGTGACAGTTGAATACAAGCTTGCCCTTTCTGGGTCTCAGCTTCCCCTCCACCCCTCTCCCTTTCCCACTTGCTCCCCCTTCCACCCCACTCAGGCTCAAAGCCTTCACTCAGACTCTTCCCACTGCCCCTCCTCTCTGCTTGCTGTAACCATCCCGAGATGCAGTTGCAGGGCACCTCCTCTGGGAAGCCTTCCTGCTTGCCTTGCAGATGTGCTCACTCTCTCCTCTGAGATCCTGAACTTTCTGCCCCTCTTGATAGGGGCTAGTCTTCTGGAATCACATCTCATCCCCACGTGAGTAGGAGGGTGAGGACTATGTACTATCCAGTTAGGCTCTCCCTTATATGCCCGGTGCCCAGCAAGGGCCTGGCACGGGTAAGGTTTCCAAAGACTCACCAAATGAACTTGAACCTGTTTGCGTTGCTCTCTGGGCGGGCGGCACAAGTGGGTCACCTGGCTCTGGGCTGGCCACATTGGCTGCCCATGAACTCTTGCCAAGGTCTCTGTTTACTCCTTGACCCAGAGGGAGGGAGCTGATGCCCAGCTTGAGGAGGAACCTGGGATTGGCTCTCCTCATCCTGGGTGACCATTTCCAGGCCAGAGCAAGCCAGGGGGGAGAAACAGCAGGGAAAGGAATCCTGCTACCAATTTCCCGTGTGAAGGAAGAACTTCTCCATCTAGTTCTCTGGCACTTTCCTCATCTGGTGGAGCAGAGCATGATTACACTTGACTGGGGCATAGGCCCCCTACTCTAGTCACCTCTGTTGGCTGCATCCAGAGGCCTCAATGATGTGACTGTCCCCAGTGGGGAGCAGTGCCAGCTCTTGAACTGTGCTTCTGTTCATATGCCACTCACAAAGCTGACCCTTGACTTACGTCAAGCGCCTTCCCTGAGCTCTGTTAGATGTAAATTTAGTTTTGCATTTTACAATCTTCTTCCCTGTTCTTAGAACTCAGAGAGCTGCATGGAAACAATTAGCCCTGTGAATAGAGGGGTCGGTGGAAACAGTATTCTCTGTTCAGGGACAGAGCAGAGCCGGAGTCACGAGAAAGGAGATACCCCGTCTGCAGATGCACATTTCACCCTATTGTTTGATCACAGCGCAGCCTGTCAGAGCCAAAAGGCTCGGTCAGGAGGAATGTGGGAATTCCCACAGTGAGTTCAGGAGGTAGGAGGTAGAGGGGGCTCAGGAAGTGTGTGTGTGGGAGCTCAGGGGAGAAGAGTCTAATCAGACACAGATGGGGCCGCTCCCACCGGGGAAGGTGGAGCACACTCAGGTGTCAACAGCTGGACCGAGGGGAGCACAGGCACCCTGCTGAGGTGTGGGTGTGGGGAGCAGTTTCCAGTGCCTGGCAGGACCTGGGCCTTAGATCTGAGAGGCCCAGGATGATGGACACCAGCAGTAGGCAAACATGGAGGCTGGGCAGCAGGTCCAGGGGGCGACAGGCACAAGGGCGGGAGGGCTCTGTCCCAGATGATTAAGCATAGGGTGACCCGGGCCACTTCTGGTGTCACAGACCAGTGGGGCGGGAGGGCAGTCTAGCAGGTAGCCAGGTGGGCTCTCAGTGGTTTGGAAACTGGGAAGACAAAAATAAGCCGCTGAACAAGGCCGCCTGGGGTGGTGAGGGGGTCCACTCATTGGGCGGGGCTAGCAGCAAGGTCTGCTGTTTGCTGGCCGCGCTGACAGTGGAGGGGGGACATAAGACAGGGCCCACCTCAGGGGGTGTGTCTAGGGGCAGGGCCTGGCTTCTTACTAGGTAGAGGAAGTGGTCTGGCCCTCAGGATGTTTTTATATCCCCAAAGGTCGGATTCCAGCAGGGACTGGCACCTTAAGTGCTACCTCCAGGGCCTCCAACCCAATCATAAACAGGGGTCCCATCTTTGGGGGTATCCCTTCTGCTCTTACTGGTGGGATTGTCTGTTTGAAGATCAGAGAAAGACCCAGTCCCAGGTAGGGCGACACATGCTTCCTCTCTGAGAAATCAGTCCCAGTGCGGGGACTGGCAATTCCTCATCCCTCCTTTACCTTCCCTGGGGTTGGGCGTGACAGACTCAGCCAAACAAACCCAGTACCTGGGGTTCACGATTGGAGAGGTCTGAGCTCTTTTTTAGGCCCCAAGGAACTTTTATAAATACAAAAAGCAGGGGCTAAGGCAGCCCATCTGGTCTCCAGGTGTGGTCTCCGTCCACTTAAGCATCTCCGAGACCTCAAGGTCAAAAGGCATTCAGAAAGGAATATGGGCTGGGAGTGCGGGTGGGGGCAGGAAATGTCTCCTGACCAGCATTAACCACACACCGCAGCAGAGAACCCCACAGCACCACCCCTCGGCAGCCACTGACCGGCTGGTGCCTCTGTCCTCAGGCTTAGCGCCTTCAGGGTCTGACAGGACAGCAGATGCCATCAGCTCTCTCCTCTGACCAGGACTGGGAAAAGTCTGGTCCACCCATCCACTTAGGCCCTCAGCTGCACCTTGCGGGCGTTTGAAAGATCACTTCCACCACAGACTCAGGAGCACAAATTACTGCATCCATTTTTCTGAAGAGGAAGCTGAGGCTGTGAGGAGCCTTCTGAGTTAGGTGGCCTGCTCAAGTTGCCACCTGGGACGGCAGCAGAATGGAAACTTAAGCTGAAGGCTTTTCACGGCATGTTCTTTCCTTGATGTGGCCCCAGAGAGCCTGTTCAGCAAGACCATGTGATGATTCACAATAATAAACACAAACAGGTAGCAAGTATATATTATCACAAATTGATAATTACTATCACCAATAAATAATTTTATTTCCTTCCCACACCCACCCTGGGAGATATATCTGACTGTCCTGGTTTTACAGTGAGGAAACTGGCTCAGAAAGGGCAGTGTTCTGCCCTGAGTCACAGAGCCAGTGAAGAGGCTGGAACTTAAAATTACTGGATTCAAATAAGCAGCCAGGAGAGGGAGGAGGTAGGCATGAGGGGAGCCGAGTCTGGTGTCCCTGAGACAAGGGGCTACCTGGCCTGAGTAGGGAGGAAGTGTGAGCATGGGAGGTGGGCATTCAGGCCAGGCTGTTGGAAGAGGGTTTGCAGTGTCAGGGGTGGGTCAGGGGGTAGGTAGTGGTAAGAGAGTGGAGGTTCCAGAGCAGGGGGAGTGAACTGCAAGATGGGGGTCTCAGGTGACCCAATAGGAAACCTGACCTAGAGGGGGCCAGATAGGAAGCTGCTAGAATCTATTGGCTGGGTCCTGGGGTGGGGGGGAATGGGGGGCTGCCCTCCTATTTGAACATACAGGGCCTTGGTGCTGGCAGAGGAGCCAGAGTGACTTCACAAGCCCTACAGATAAAGGAAGGGACTTGGCTAACCAGGCTACTGTTCTCTGAATTCCCCAGGGGCCTCTGTCCTGGGCAGGATGTTCAGGGTACACATTACTGTTCCCTCAGCTCCTCTCCCACAGGCAGCTTTCTCTGAGTTACGGTTCTCAACGGGGCTGATTTTGCCTGCTAGGGGACATTGGACAATGCTTGGAGATATTTTTGGTTGTCACAACAGACTGGGAGGGGCATCTAGCCGGGTAGAGAAGGGGAATGTTGCAAAGGGTAGACCCCCTACAACAAGGACTTATCCAGCCCCAAATAGCAATAGTGTTGAGTTTAAAAAACCAACTCCGGGGCAATCAGCAAGTCTGCATTTTCATTCTTCACTCCCTTGTGAGGGAGGTGAAAAGGGAATTCTTAGCATTCCTATTTTACAGACGAGGAAACTGAGGCTCAGAGGAAAATGTGACTTATCCAAAGAAGTGCAGCAGTTCCTTCATTCAGCAATCATTTACTGAGCACCTACTTTATGCCAGGCACTATTCTAGTTGCAGAACTGAGATTAGGACTCACTCATTTCTTTATTCATTTATCAACAAATATTTACTGTGCTGGCTGCTGGGAATATATAGTGATGAATCAAACCCAGCCCCTGACCTTTAAGACCTCACAGTCTAGTGAGAGAGACAGTCACACAGATGTTGACAAGAGTGAAAACATGTCATAGCATAGTCCATGGCTACCTGGAGAAACCCAGGAAGGCTTCCAAGTGGAGGTGTTTATAAATTAAGATGATGAGAGTAGGAGTTAACCTTCAAAGGTTGAGGTTTGTGCAGAGTAAGGAACAGCATGTACAAAAGTGTGGAGGAGGGAGAGTATGGCTCATTTAAGATCTGAATATAGTTCAGAGTGGCTAAATGTGATGTGGAAGAGAAAATGAGAGAATATCAGGCTCTCACAGGGCCTTGAATGTCATGCTAAGGTGACTGCATGGCCTCTCTGAGCTGTGACAGGGATGGGCAAGTGGCAGCCGAGATGACTAGCGCTCTGAGACCAATTGCCCAAGGGGCTTCCTTGGGTTGGTGGCTGGGGACAGAATAGGACCCCTTGGATGTGCCTTTTGTTTTCTTCACTTATCCTGATTTACCTAGTGTGGCTCTCACTTTTCTAATTCCCAGCACAGAGGTTCCCAAGGATAGGAGCATAGAGTCCCCCACCCCAGGAAGATAGGCTAGAGCCCCACCTAGTCTACTAGAAAATGTGTGTCCTCCAGTCACTGCCCCCCCACAGATCCCGTAGGAGAACCCCACCAGCTCCCACCAAGCCCCCTCTGCCCAGAATCCATTTCTTCTACCTTCTCTGGGCTCCCAAAGGTGAACTGTCCGGGCCCCCAGCTGAGGCAGCAGTGCGTCCCACTCCCAGCTGTCACTCCAGTACCTCTCCCTCTCCTTCATCCTCCTCTTTCTCCTCCTGGATTTTTCCCATCACCCCACAAAATGCTGTCATTTCTACTATCTTAAATAGCCACTGCTATTCTCTCTCCTCATTAAAAAAAAACCTCCTCAACAGCCTTGTCTCCACTCCCTCTCCTCCCAGTCTCTCTTGCATGGCCTCCACACAGGCTTTTGCCCCTAGTGCTGCACCAAAGCAGCTCTGGTCAAGGGCACCCATCAGCTCCCTGTTGCTGGACCCAGAGAGCACTTAGTTCTGGGTTCTTCCACTCTCGGCTTAGCAGTTTTTGCTATCGCCAGTCTCTCTTTCTCCACTTGGCTTCTGGGACATACCCCGGTTTCTGCCTACTTCTCTGGCTGCTCCTTCTTGGTCTCCTGGGCTGTGTTTCCTTACTGTCCCTGACTTCTAGGAGTGCCCCAGGGCTCCAAATGTTTTCTGTCTACCCTCATTTTTCCAGTGAGCTCATCCAGGTACAACAAATATGGTCTACATGCTGATGACGCCAGCCCTGAACTCCTCGGCATCACAAACCTGACATGCTTATAATTCCACCCTCCCAGTCACCTCAGTTAGAATTGCTGCCGTCCTCCTTGACTTGTTTTTCTCAGGCCTGAGATCTAATCCACTAGTATAATCTTGTTGGCTTGCCTTTCAAAATATATCCGATAACCAATGACTTCTCACCAGCTCCACCCCACCCTGCTCCTCGCAAGATTGACTCACCGAGATTACTGCACTATCCCTAACTAGCTTCCCAGCCTTCACCATTTACCTCCTTCAGTCTGCTCCAAACCCAGCAGCCAGGGAGATCCTTTAAAAACTCAAACCAGCTCATGTAACTTCTGCCCCAAACCATCCCTCTCACTCAGAAAACAATTTACAGTTTCCACTTTGGCCTACAGTGCTTATGGTCTGGCCATTGTTCCCTCTCTGACCTCCTTATCTCGATTCTCTCTCATTCCACTACATACTATTCTCCTTACTGTTCCTTGAACATCCCAGACTGTCACCTGCCTCAGGGCCTTTGCACTTGCTAGTCCCACTGCTAGGAACACTCTTCCCTCAGAGACCTACGTGGCTCACCCTCCTTCTTCCTCCAGGTCTTCACTCCAGTGTCTCCTCAGTGAAATCTTCTGCTGGGTCCTCTATCTAAAACCTCTCTCTTTCCTTGACATACCCTAACCCCATTCCTCACCCTTTGGCATTCTTTAATATATTCTGTGTTTTACTAATTCACTTTTGTTTTCTTTCTCTCTCTCACCCTGGGATGTAATCTCCACAAGGACAGGGATTTTTGACTGTTTTGGTCATGGCTCTCTCTCTAGCACCTAGTGTAGCGTTCTGGTGTGAGGTGATGTTTGATGTATACTAAGTATATAGAATGCATGAAGGATCTGCTCGGGGCCTCGGTCTCTTCCTCTGTAGAATGGGTGTGCTAGACAGAACCAGCCCCATGGGATTGCAGGAGGATTCTCTGAACTGTGTGACTGTGCAGGTCCCTGGAAGATAGTAGGTACACAGCAAGGCACCCTTCTCATCCTCTGCTTTGCCTCCAGCCATGTTTAAAGCAGTGGGCTCAGCTAGGATGACCTTTCCTCTTGCTGGGCCCCCTTGGAGAGTGGGGGGCAGGGCCTTACCTGGGTGGATGTCCTGGAACAGAGACTTCCAGATGGTGTACTGCAGGGGTCCTGTATACTTGGAGGTTGGGAAATCTTCGTAGGTCAGATTGGTCTCGTGGATTTTCCCTTTGAGCCTGAAGGAGAGCAAGAGCACAGGCTGCACTGGGGTGTGGGTTCCTGCCCCATCACTGGCAGCTGTCCCACGCAGGGAGGGGCATGCCTCTGAAGCCTGCTGGACCAGGCTCAAGTGTCACTCCCCACTGCTATTAGCCTCAATTTCCTCATCTTGAACACGGGTACTATGGGAACTCTGCCTTCTAGGCTTGCTGTGAGCCCCACAAGGCATGGCATTTGTAAAATGTTTATAAACTTGGCTCGTGGTCACATGAATACATGATGTTAGCGATCAGGATTGCTCATCAACAAACCAATATTTATTTATGATTATTGGTATTGTTATTGTTAAAGGTAGCTATGGGATCATAGACCTGGGTTTGAATCCCATCTGCCCCACACATAAGATGAGATGAGGGGTCTTGGCGGATTGATCTAGCTTCTCTGTACCTCATTTTCTCCATGTGTGAAATAGGGATGAGGGCAGCAACTACCTCCAAGGGGACTAATAGGGTTTTAAAAGACGTATTATATATTATATAATGTCAGTTGTTATATACAATATAAATTATATATGTTTGCAATATAAATAACGTATTACTCCACCAGTAATATACTCTGTGAGGATACATATTACACATGTAATAGTATAAACATAAAAGCCCTCAGCCTAGCACCCGGCACACGGCCCATGTTCCGTATGTTTGAGGAAGATGTTAACACTGAACCACTGCCTCTGGCCCCTGGTGGTCGGCACTTACCGTTCAGACAGTGAGGCCACCCCGGCCAGGAAGGTGTGTCGGTCGGTCTCGGCCAGCCGCTCCTGCAGGATCTGCGCGCCCTCCTGCACCTTGCGCAGCTGCTGGCTGTAGCGCTGCACCTTTTGCTCGATGTCGGTCAGTGTGCGAGCTGTGTCCGCCTCCAGCTCCTCCAGCATGGCCTTCTGCCGCTCACGCAGAAGCCGGTGCAGCCGCTCAAAGGCTTCCCCGATGGTGGTCCGCAGGCTTTTGGTGGAAGACTGCGGGGACAGGCATCAGGGGTTATGTCAGGGAGAGCAGGCGGGTCTGCAGGTGTAAGGAGGAAGCCAAGAACCTTGACAGGCAGAGAGGAAAGGGCAGGAAAGGCTGGCTGGGTGGCACTGGCATAAGCGAGGGGGCAGGAAGGGACTGGCCAGGCCAGGGGGAGATCAGCTATGCTATGCAGCCCCTTAGGGGGCTAAGGAAATAGTCCAGCTGAGATAGTGAGGCTTGCACTGGAGGGAAACAGCTAATAAGCCATTTGGTGGGATCCTCTGGCCCTGGTGGCCGACTGGCTATGGAGGGGTGCAGGAGACAAAGGTGTTGAGGAAAATGCCCACATTTCTGGTTTGGTGGTGGGATGGTAGGAAAGCTGGGGGAAGAAGAAGGGACTGGGAGAAGATGCTGACTTCAGGCTGGATACAGTGCAGTCTTTATTTTCAAAAAATCACTCATGGACTCAAGCAAAGAGGACAAGGAGATACGGATGTTAAAAGAGTTTTATAAATTGCAACATGCTGGATCACTTGCCCTGTCCTGCCACCCCCAGATTCCCTGGACAAGGAACACGCTGTGGCAACCTCAGTTGCCTGATATCTCTGAATCTTCTGTTTCTTAGCTGTGAAAAGGGCAGCACAACTCCCTTGCAGAGGGGTGGTGGAGGTGAAATGAGGGAGTGTTCACAAAAGGCGAGGCAGTGCTCCAGGTGCAGCAGGAGGGGCTGCTTATTGCAGAAGATTAGTTCTAACAGGCACATCCTGGAAGTCTTCCCTGAGAGATGGCATCTGAAGAGGGGCCTGAGGGATGTCAGTTGGGGTACAGGGGCCAGCCAGCAGGGTCAGCACAAGTCAGGACAACACAGGGCTCGGAGTGCAGCGGGGTGGCGGCAGCGTGTGGGGCCTGCCTCTGTAATTTTACTTTGTGGGATTCTGGCTACGAGTCCACGGAGTCAGGGACCCCACTGAGTTCAGTGCCCAGGGCTCTGTGGGAGGCTTGACAAAGGCTCAATTAGGGTCTGTTCTCTCCCCATCATACTCCTGGCCTACAGGAAGAGCTGTTGGCAGTGGGCCAGCCTCCCTGCGCATGCCCACCCAGAGCACCAGGCAGACAAAGGGGGAGAGGCTGGGGATGAACAGCCAAGCTGCCTGTGGCTTCCCTGAGCCCCCCCCCCCCCCCCACCGCACTTAGGAAGGGCCCTGACTTCTGCAGCTGCAGGTTGCAGGTGGGGAGACAGGGCTGTATCATCATCTGCTGTGGCCCTCCATGGGTCCCCTAACCCTATGGCCACCCCTTCTGGGTCCTCGACTACTCTGTAGCAGCACTTGACCCACTCGCCACGCTCTGCTAATTGCAGCTCTGGTTTGCTCCCCTGTCCGCCATCCAGGGCTGGGCCAGGCCAGTCTTGCATTCTCATCCCACTTATCCTTCCTCATCTTCGAGGCCCACCGCTTTGAGGTTGGCTCTCAAGTCCACATAGAGTCTTGCATGTCTCCTACCTCATCTTTCCAACTGCCTCCTCCACATGGCCCCCTGGGTTCCCACAGGCCCTCCAACTCACTCGGTCCACAAATCAATTTTGTGTCTTAACCCACAAGCTCCCCCTCTAGTGTGCAAACAGGGCCACAGCTGATCCCCTGTTTGTGAACCTTCCTTGGCTCCCTGATGACTAGTAGGATGCTAAACTCCTTGGCCTGGCTTTCAGTCCTCAATCAGACCCCAGCTTACCTGTGTGGGGCCACTGTATTGTAATTTCACCTGCCTAGAATGACCTCCTCCCCCAGCAAACACTTTATTCAACTGGAAAATATATGGCTTTCCTGCCAGCCCGAGTCAAAAGCTACCTCTTCTGTGATACTTTCCTTAACTTTTTTCAGACTGTTAAACAGTAAAACATACTGAGGACATTTTGCAAATAGTCTTAATACAGTGTCTTACATTTTATGTGCTTCCTGGCTAGTAGATGAGCCTCCACCTGCACACACCTACCCCCAGCCACGCCTGCCTGTCCTCTGCTCAGCCCCGGGTCTGGCATAAGGCTGGCACTCAGGATCTGCTTGAAAGGTGAAGGAGGGGAGGGTCTTACCCAAGGTTGCTCTGCAGCAGTGGGTGCAGACGCCATCTTTTTTCTAAGGTGGGAGTTCAGTGTCCCCAGGATAAGAGAGGATGGGTAGGGAAAGAGGGAGAGACAGAGAGAGTGCAGTTCCAAAGTGCAGCATCGGAGTGACAGCTACCCCAGGAACCCCACATATGTCCCTCATGGGTCCTTCCAACCTACCTGCCTTGCTGATCACAAGGCCCAAGACCCTAGCATGAGGCTGGAACATGCACTGGGCTCTGACAGACCTGGACAGTAGCTCTCATCGGCCACTCATTAGCTGATCCCTCCACCTCTCTGTGCTCAGGTTCCTTGACAATAAAATGGAAATAACTATGATTCCTACCTCAAAAGGTGTCTTTTTCAGGCCTCCCCTGGTGGTGCAGCAGTTGAGCGCTGGGCTGCGAAGCTGCCCACAGCCTCTGCAGCGCCAGTTTGATCCCTGGCTGCCAGCGAGGGTCCCGCATGGAGCGACAGAAACCTCTCCTGCTGCGCCCGCTGCTCCCCTCAGCAGTGTATTTCGTCGGTCTGCCTGTTCTGTTCCCTGCTCTGGTGAATTCTCTCACCCTCCTGTGCTTCTGACTGTACCCAGTGCTTGTATAAATAAATAAATAAATAAATATTTTTTTTAAAAAAAGGTGTCTTTTTCCTCTACTTGTTTGTCCTACAAGTATTTATTGTGTGGGTGGCATAGAATGACATAGGCATAGGTTTGGGGGAGCCCTGCCACCATGAAGATGACATTCTGTGGGAATTGGCGTGACAGCAAATGGGAAACACAATTCTCATCATTGTCAAAAGTTCAGCTCAAAAGTGTGCCCTGTTTATTCCAGTTTTTTCAGGGCAGAGACACCTTCACCCCCTCCCCAGTTCCTTCGGTGCCCTGGCTGGGAAAGCAGCTCCCATCCCAGCCCACCACATCCCTGGGAACACACTGGAGCTTGGACGAGTTGGGGCCATGTCAGAAAAACACGCTGCCAAGAATGCGTCACTCCTCAGGGCTGCCCAAGGAAAACACGGAGCCAGGGGAGGGGGATCAGGGCAGGCGCCGCAGGGAAGCAAGTCAGGCACCAGGTGAAATATGACCTCCAAAGCATCCACAGGCATTTCTTGTATAAACACCCCAGTCCAGACAGGAAGCAGGGCTGAGGGAACTGAAGGGGGAGGTGGACCCCCAGGACCCCACAGGGGTAGACAGATGGACAGGAAAGCAGGGGAGGAAGAGGTCAGGGGAGAAAAACAATGGGGGTTGGAAGAAGAGAATACTGGGGAGAAGAAACAGACCATAACATCCCCCTTTCATCCAGAGAGGTTCCTTTTGCTCCTCTTCACCTGAGAGGTACAGTCACCAGGCAGATGGGGAAACTGAGGCTGTGAGATGCGTACAGGCTAGAATCCTATGACTATTTCTCATCTGTTGCTGAGGGTCCTCCCCAGAGCACTCGGAATGTTTTCTGAAGAAATGTTTGCCATGACTTCCCCGAGACCCCACAGTGGGTTGGTGGCCAAGCTGGGGCACTGATCTGGAGCTCCAGTGGCCTTTCCAGGCCCCATGCTGACCTCAGAGGCCCAGAGCATTCCTAGGACTCTGCTCCCGCGCCTGCTGGCAGCCGTACCCCTGCAAAGGAGTGGAGCCAGACTGAAATCAGCCCAGAGCTTACCAGCTGGGCCGGGTCCTCAGCTCTTAGTCTCAGAAACGCAGAGCAGACATCGAAGCAAGTCTTGCCCAGTTAGTGAGATAGCTGGGCATGGGGGGAGGGGAGAGACTTAGAGGGAGCCCCTTGAAAGTTTGGAAGATCCAGAACCTCATCTCTGGAGAGAGCCTGACAGAGAGCCCTCTGTACAGATGGGAACACCAGGGTCCCTGAGAAGTAGGCAGTTCACCCAAAGGGACAGGTGGTGGCTGAGTCAGAACCTGTGGCCTCTCAGGTCAAGAAAAAAGGTGTTTCTTTTCAAACCATTGCAGCAGGTGACTCAGGGTCTGGCCCTACTGTCCAGGGTCCATAACCCTGTGGCCTGAGCTTCAAAGGGGAGATGACTGAAGGGTTGAGCCACAAATTCTGCAAGAGAACATGCTCAGGGCTGGCTCCTCACCAGTGTGAATAAGGAAGAGGACAAGTGACATTTTCCAGGACCTGCGCAGGGGCTTGGAGGGCCCCTGGCCCCACCTCAACGTCCACTCAGGACAGAAAGGAAGAGGGGCCGCATTCTTCACCCAGTACCTGCTCAAATCCTTGCCCTCACTCACCTTGGAGATGGTGCACCTCCACTTTTCTTTCCTAGAAGCGAGCCCTCATCTTTCCCAGGGTCCCGCCCCGAGGCCGGCCAAGCTCACCTTGGTCTCCGCCAGCTGTCGCTTAAGCAGCTGCAGCGCCTCCGTGTGCTCCCGCTCGCTGTCTTGAAGGGCCTGAAGCTGCTCCTTCAGCTCCCTCTGAAACACAGACAAGGCCGGGCTGGGGACCAGGGCCAGACCCTGGGTAGATGTTCCATGGCCCTTGGGGCATTTAAGCCATGGTGTCGCAGCAGAGCTGTCTACCTCTCCTCTCCGTCACACCGCCCAGGAGTTCTCCAGGATGGGCCTTGACTGTTATCTCTCTTTGCCCCCATGCCCAGCAACAGCCTGACATGGAGATGGGGCTCAAGGAAGTCTGCTTTGTGAATGAATTTCCTTAGAAATATCCTCTGAGCAGAGCCTGGGCTCCCCCATTCGGCCTCGGCTGTGCAGGGAGCTGACTTACCTGTCCACACACCTCCACACACACAGTCATCTCTTCAGAGCAAGGAGGGCCCTCAGAAAAACATCTAGTCCAACCAATTTTATAGACTAGGTAGCAACATGGGAAAATGGCCATGATGACGGGCAAAATGATCTTTGCTTACGATCCCTTATTCATACCACAAATATTTATTGAGCAACTGCTATGGAGCAGGCACTGCCCAAGCATTGGCGGTCTGCAGAGAAGCAGACACAGGCCCTGCCTGTGGGAATCTTCCATCTAGTGGGGAAGATGTAACAAACAAGGGAGATGATAAAAGAACCAGGTACTTATCAATTATGGTCTGTGCTTGAGAGAAAATAAAGGTCTCAGGCCATAAGACAACCATAAAGGTGGAAGCCGCAAGCTGAACCCAGAGGAAGATGGCAGGGGAGTGTGGGTGCTGCTGACCAGGGGCAGCCACACCACCCCTGGACTCATGATGTTCTGGGAAGTTCGCCCCCAGGAGAGAAAGCCCCAGTTTATGGTGTTTGCCAAATTTTGTGGGTGCAAATGCTCCCACCAACGCAAATTTCAAGCTATCACTGTGCTATCACAGGACACAGAGGTGGGAGGAGATTTAGTAATCAGCTCTTAGAAACTTCTGTGAACTGGCTCCAGCAACCACCGCCTGGGGGACTTTCCTGCAGATTGGTTTTACTTGAGGGAGAAATCCAACCCTTCTAACTGCAGCTACGTCAGTCAGGTCACTTATATCCGAGCTGAAAGGCACTCCCAGTGGGTTCACTTGCATCTGAGTCACTGGAACAGACCGTCTCATTTAACTAAGAGGCATAATAACTGCTCCTTCGCCCTCCCTGGCGGCCTCAGGCCTATCCAGCTTGGGACACAGCTTGCTTGAGACCCAGATGTTTGAGGAGAGGGGCCAAGTGCTACAATCCTCCCCGCTGGTGGTCCTTGTGGATACATGAGACCCAGCCACCCAGGCAGCTCTCGGCATTTCCCAGGCAAACAGCCAGGGGCGGGGCGCGACCCTCACAAGGCTCAGGGTGCCTAGGGACTTGGACAAATTCCTTTCTGCTTTCAGGGCAAGGAACTGGGAGAGCAGGTCGGCCCCTTCCTCCTGGACCTGAGCAACGTCACTCACCCATTCACAAACATGTGCTGAGGCCTCATTGGGCCCCCCAGGTTGCTGGGTCAGCAGCAGGGAGAGGGATGAGGGATAATCCCTGATCCATCATGCTTGTGCAGACGACTTTGGGGGGGAAGACAGGGGCATGGACATTAACATCACAGTGAATGTTGGGCTGCGTCAGGGAATCCCAAACCTGCCCCTCCTCCCATGTACCCCATCTCAGGGAAAGGCACCCCGACACCCCACTGCCATTCAGGCCAGAAGTCTGGGAGTCATCCCTGACACTGCCCACCCACCAACCAAATCAGTCATCAGGTTGCTCAGAAATGTGCTCTCCCCTTTCTACACCCTCTGCCCCAGATAATTTTTCATCGCTCTTTTTCTGGACTGCAGCCCCAGGCTCCCCCGGCCCTGGCCCCCTTCAAGCGCCACAGTGCAGCTGGAGCGATGGTTCTAAAGGACAGAGGTGTCCATACTTCTCCCTGGGGCCCTCTGCAGAAGAGCTCCAAGGCCCTTCGCCACTGGCCCCAAATCTCTCCAGTTTTATCTCTTGGTCCAGACCTGCACTGTCCAATACAGTAGCCACCAGCCACAGGTGACTAAAATAAAATTAATGAAAACAAAAATAAGCAGAAAATTCAGTTCCTCACTTGTGCTGATTGCACATGTCAGACACTCAATAGCCACACACGACAAGCGGCTACTGCGTCAGTGCAGATGCAGATCCATTATTCCAGAAAGTTATACTGGACAGTGCTGCTCTAGATGCACGAAGCACCTTGATGCTCTCCTCCAGGTCTTTGTACATGCTATTCCCTGTCTGCAATGCTCACCCCTGCACATCAGGCGCATACTTATCTCTTAAGACCTAGATCAAATATCACTGCAATGCCACATTGTCTTCGGGCCCTTCTCTACAGACAGACTTGACCTTTGTGGCACACACTGTATTTTAATTGCAAGGTCAACTGTCAGTCTCTCCCATGAGATTGTGGGCTCTTGAGGGCAGGGACTGTGTCTGATAGATTTCCACTCTCTTAGTACCTACCACAGGGCCAGGAACAGTGTGACTGGTGCAGAATGAATCTGCTCAGGGAAGCGACTGGACTGGGCTGGAGCTTAACCCTAAAAGTGTGTGTGTGTGTGTTTATGGGAGGGTGATGCAGGGGTTGGGAGGCAGGCGAGCAGCTCTCCTCTGGTGGGCTACAGAGCCTGAGGGAACAAAGCTAACTTAGAAAAACCAAACCCCGCAACTCCCAGGGTAGGACTATGGGGCAGCCTGTCCTCTGCCTCTCGTTTCCTTGAGGATCCTTTGAGGTTTGGGATCAGATCTGGGTTAAAAGGTCGACTCTGTCACAGTCTAGCTGTGACCTTGGGCATGAACCTAAACTTGCTATGCCCTAGTCCCTCATCTGGGAAGTGGGGGCATAATAACACTTCTAAGGTTGGGAGGGTGAAATGAGAGCAGAGTGAAAATGGTTTTGGGGACTCCCTAATGGCACAAGGGGTTAAGATGCAGCACTATGAAGCTGTCCACAGCCACTGCAGCACGAATTTGATCCCCAGCCAGGGCGGTGACCCACATGGCGCAGCAGACCTCTCCTGTCTTGCCTGCTGCTCCCCTCAGCAGTATATTTCAGTCAATCTGTCTGTTCTGTGCCCCACTCTGTCTCTGGTGAATCCTTTCACTGCTGCATCTCTGGCCTGCACCCCAGCTCTTATATACATAAATAAATAAATCTTTAAAAAAATGGTTTAGCCTCATAGGGTGGACCCTGGCCTACACCAGATGCTTGGGACACTTGGTGGTCACCAATGTTCCACATGAGGCTCCTCGGTCACATCTCCATGTCCTTATCTTCACTGTTTCCAGGCCTCTTCCTACCTCTTCAGATGGCCAGAACAGGAAGGGGCCCCAGGGACCATCCAGCCCATTCCCCTGGATTTTCTCACATTGGAAACTGAAGTCCAAAATGGGACTGGCTGGCCCACAGCACACAGTATGACAGAGCAGAACCAACCGGAAAACTCACTCCCAGCAGAGGTCAGACAGGTAACAGAAAGCTGTTGAAAAAATCCTGAAGTGATAGATCTAACAGCAAGGGAGGATTTGTCATGGGGAAGTCGCTGGAGAGCTGGAAAGTTCCAGGAGAACCGGAAATGGTGTAGTTTGGGTTTGAATTTCACAGGCATCAGGTCACTTAATTCTCACAATGCCACAGGTAGTGCCTTATCACTTCCATCTCACAGAGGGGAAAGGGAGGTTCAGAGAGGTCCGGCATCTTGCCTAAGGTCACACAGTTCATAAGAGGCAGAGGAGGGGCTCCAGGTGACTCCAAAATCCAGGCAGGTAACCACTCAGTGGCTCTGCCTCCTGCTCACGTCAACACAGCAACCATGTCTGGTCATACAGTCAGCTTTGTGGCTGCTACGCCACAATTATTGAGGGGTTTACTGCTAGTTGTGTGACTCAGTCTACCATGTGGGAGAACAGGATGAACGTGGAGATTCAGCCGCCACCACCTAGTGGCATGTGACCTCCCCTCTGTTTCCAAATCTGTAAAGTGAGGACTAGCAGTGCCTCCTCCATGTTGTCGCAAAGATTAGATGACTTAATTCAAGGCCTGACCCGACACACAGGGTGTGCTAGGCCACTCTTAGTTGTAGTCATTATCATCATAATGATTATAACTACATGTGAAAGGGGGACTTGCAATTGGGGGAGCTTCCAGGAGAGAGTATTTTTGATGGTCGGAGCAGGGAAGACGATGGGCAGGGGCCAGAGTATTCAGGAAGAGAACTAGAGGGTAGGGGCACACCTGCAGGAAGTGGGGCAGCTGGGGATGGCAGGAACCAGCTATGTGACAAGGGGGTGGAGTCACAAGCTGGAAAGGCCAGTGGGGCTAGTTGGGGTGAGGAAGAGGTCTTGCAGGTCAGCCTGGCGGAGCTGGACTCTGCAGGTCCCATCAGAGTTGGGGCAGCGCAGGAGAGGGAACTGGGAGGGACCCATCAGAGGGCAGAGTCATCTCGCTCCACTCCTTTCTCAGGGAGGGGGCAGAGTGGGGCAGACCTGAGCACACAGGTATGCAAACATGCCAGCTGGGAGGTCCTGGGGCTTCCCCAGGTTTGGAAAGGCCAGGACTGGGGGGGCAGCTGGGTTGAGGACAGAAAGCCAGCGCTCACATGCCCCAAGGCCAGGGCTCCCCTCCTGTCTCCCAGCCCAGAGGACAGAGCTGCTGCAGGAAGCCCTCCCACCAGGGATCTGGGGGCCTTTCTTGTTCCCCTCACCAAGCGGTGCTGCCCAGGGAGACAGCATGTACTCTCATGTCAAAACAACCTGGCTGGCACACAATGGGTGCTCAAGGTGTCCTCTCCCCTGCACCCCGGCGCTGTTCTCCTCCCTGCTCCCACCCAAGCCTGTCAGCATGGAAGACGGGAAGACGGACTTGTCTTGCTTTCCCTCCCCCTCAATTCCCTCAATGCCCAGGGCCCCTGATGCTCCTGCTCCTCCACATAGGCCTGATCTGCCTACCTTGCACATCTCCCTAACCACTCAGCCTCAGGCTCTGGCAGCACCGCAAGTAGGGCTGACCCTAGTCTCACTCAGGAGTAGGGAAAGAGAGAAGGGTTGATGTGAGGACTCATTGCCCACGACACAGAACTTGGCTCAATAAACTTTGGCTGTTGTTTTTTAGAGTTGCTATTATTTCTGTTGTCACTATCAGATCCTCTTCTCTCTATAAAATAAATGCCCTGGGGGGGGGGCAACCTCAACTCTTTTAAGTTTCTACCCTGTGACTTTTGCTCAGCTGTGCCACTGCTGCCCACAGAAGTGCCAACAGCCAGCCCTGTCCCCATGGAGGGTGCTGTTTGCACAAAAATCCTGTCTTCTGAGAAAAGTAACAGCAGAGGCTGCTTCGTGGGACACACACTGCCTGCCTCCCTGTCTGTGGCACAAAGCAAAGCGCCTTCTCAGCTGTTATCTCTTTGGACAGGCCACAACTCTGCCTCCCTTTTTTACATGTAAAGTGGATGGTCCAGTTCTTACCTCCATTTCTCAGGCTGGGAAGGGTGCAGGGAAATCAGTATCTCCCACTCAGCTGGAAGAAGACCTAGAGCTAGGATTTGCACTTAATGCCCCAACCCTGCTCTCTCCTCTCTGGTGTCTCGGATCACTGTGCCCAGCTTCTCAGGGCTTGCTTCCAAGGTGGATTCACCACTGTCTCCCTTGGCATGAAGGAGGCCTTGGGAAAGGTTCCAGGGGTCACGTGAGGCCTGGAGGGCATGTGGGTACTGAATCTGATCCCCTCTCTGGAGGTTAGGGGCTCAGCTGGCCAGGCAACCGGATACCAGGCCTGACCAAGATGACATACAGCCACCTGCGCCTGGTACATCCGCTGGCATGCAGAGCATGTCCTTGTGCTGAGTGCTGGGCACCAAAAGACAGCAGAGTGGGTGGAAGACAAGGACCGGCCCTTGGAGGAACTGTGAATGCCTAGTCAGACTGGCTTCAAATCCTGCCCCTGCCATTTACCAGCAGGGCGACAGAATACGTCACTGAATTCCTCCAAGCTTATTTCCTCAGTAAAAGGAAGAATGATAGCACCTGTGCAACAGGGTGCTAGAACGCTTAAATAAGGTAGTACAAGAAAAGTGCTGAGCAGTTCCAGGTAGTGGGTTGGGACCCCAGATGTACTGGCTCCATGTCTCCCCTTTGCTCTGGGATCCATGTACTCAGCAGTGAAAAAATGATGCCATTTAGGGGCCTCCCTGGTGGTGCAAGGGGTTAAGTTTCAGCTCTATCAAGCTATCAGCAGCCTCTGCAGCATGAGTTTGATCCAGGACCAGGGAGCTACCCACATATGGCACAGCAGACCTCTCCTGTCTTACCTGCTGCTCCCCTTCGCAGTGTATTTCAGTAGATCTGCCTGTTCTGCTCCCCACTCTGTCTCTGGTGAATCCTCTCACCCCCCACACCTCTGGCCTACACCTCAGTTCTTATATGTATAAATAAATACATCTTAAAAAATTTTTAAAAAGATGCCATTTATACAACAAAAGTTCTGCAGAACTGTAAGACAGTTCTATTTTTCTATGGGGTGAGGTTATAGGGGGACTTTAATATTGCGCAGCTCTGCTTATTATGTTAATTTTATGATAGGAAAAAAAATAAAGATATTTAAAGAGGGCTGTGCGCTACTCCATGCCAGGTTCAGTCTCCGGCACTTTCCAAGGTCAGGTATGCCCATGTTATAAACAGATGGAGGCTTAGAGAAGTGAACTCTCCAAGAACACATGGCTGATCAGTGATGGCAGGACCTGACCCCTGTATTGGAAAGAGGAATACAGAGCAGTTCTATTTGACAGGTCAGGAAAAATTTCAAGGAGGAAGTGATATTTGAGCTGAGTCTTAAAAGTTGAAAAGGATTTATCCGAGTTCTCAACCAGGATGATTTTGATCCTGGGGGACATTTGGTGAAGTGTAGAGACATTTTTGGTTGTTACAACTCAGGGAAAATGGGTGCTACAGGCATCTAGTGGCAGAGGCCAGGGATGCTGCTAAACATATACAATGCACAGGGTGGTCTTGCACAACTAAAGACTTATCTGGCTCTAAATGTCAATAGTGCGGCCTATGACGTAAATACTTGAGCTGTTATTTATTCAGTGCTTATGATGGGCCATGTGCAGTACTAAATTCTTGCAAACGTCATATTATTTAATCCTAACCCAATTACTCTCATGTTGTCAATGTGACTCCTGAGTCAGAGATGGTAAGAAACTTCCCTAAGGTCACACAGCCAGAATGTGATAGAGCCAGGGTTGGTACTGCCTAAGTGTAAAATCCCAGAGCTCTTAACCTTTTTGCTCTGCTGCCTCCAGGATTTACAATAAAAGTTCTAGGCCAAATTCTAGGCAGGGTGTGAGCCTGGTTGAGCCCAGGCCCAGCCTCCTTTGGACTTAAGGGCAAGGTCCCTTCCCTCCCCTTCTGCCACTTTCCCATCTGTTGAGTGAAGGTTGCACCGGAACATCTCCAAGGTCCTGCTAGCTCTAAGCAGTTACTCTCCGGGAGAGGGAGCCAAGTCCAAGCTCCTGGAGCCCTGGGGACAGAACCACCAGCTGCTGGGAAATGGGTGTGTGACAAGTGGCTTAGCCTCCTTCCTGGGGCATAAATAGCTAAAGAGCCCTGCTTCCCCAGATGGAGGGAGAGGCCGAGGGGGTGGGGAGTGGCTTGAACTTCACCCAGGAGCTTACCTCTTCAGTGGGGAGGTGTGTTTCACTGCTACTTTTTGCCAAGCTCCAAGGAGAAACCAAAGCCAGGCCTCCTCCTCAGTCAAGAGAAGTGGGTCTGGGCATCGGCCCATCTGGGCACATGGATTCTCACAGGTAGAAGGATAAAGGATGGGGGTGTGTGCTGATCCAGCCCCCATCACGTGTCAGGGACCTCAAATAGCAAGTTCATCCCAGGGCAGCCTCATGAAAATCCTGGTAGGAAGAATCACCCTGACCCCAGTTTACAGGCAAGGGCAGCAGGGTTTACATGAAGTAACTTGCCCAGTTTCATAGGCAGTGCTGAAGGAAGATGTCTCACTCCAGGCCTAGTGCCCTAGAGGCTAAGGGAGGAGGAGCTGTTTTTCTTTTAACCCAAAAGGAAAGTGTTTCAATAATGTTTGGAGTAAATATATGTTCAGTTTCTTCTGTATTTGCCACCCCCCCTCCACCAACACACACACACACACACACACACACACAGGGATGGACTGAAAAAAAAAAAAAAACACAATACAACACAGCACAGCACAGCACAGCACAGCACAGCACAGCACAGCACAGCATAATGCTTCTGATGTCCCTGTTTGCAGACAGAGTTAAACAAGCCTCAGAAAGTAGAGGCCTCTGAGCTGCAAAGTTAGACAGGGAGAGGAGGGGAGAGCTGCTGGGGAGGGGTCAGGCTGGCTCAGGCTGGGCTTTCTAGTCTGGCTCTCTTATTGTCTGGCAGCATGGCTGTGGGTAAGTCACACTGCCCCTCTACACCTCTATCTCCACATCTATATATTGCAGAGGTTATATGGATGGTTTCAGATAGAGTCTCATCAAACTCTCACAATCTGTGCCCAGTCCTAGCAAAAGTTCTCTCCTTTTCCCTGTTCATGTGACTTCACAACTGGGTAGATGGGGACACCAGTCCCTGACACAAGGGGCTCTGGGGGTGGTGGGCCAATGCGAGCCTTATGCAAGCCTCCAAGGCCCCAGCTCTTTCTCTCCATCCTCAGAGACTCAGGCTGGAAGGGAGTCAGTCATGGTTTGGGGGTTAAAGAGACTGGGAGGAGGGGGTGAATATGCACCCTGTGTTCATCTCCATGGGCTTCTGCTAGGTGCAGACTGACTTAGGAGACTCATGTATAAAGGGTGCAGGAGGACCACCTACAGCACAGGGAAAAATAGTTAATTAGCTCTTGCTTCAGTGTCTTGAGGAACAATGAGCTCACTATCTTTGAGTGAGCCCACTGTTTTCATAAAATATTTGAGTTAAAAACCTTCTGGTAACAGACTCTGCCATCTGGGCCAGCTCAGGCCCAAGGTTGGTTATTCATTCAACTTCTACTGATGGGTACTGTGGGCCAGATCTCATGCCAGGCTTTGGGGCCATAGATATGGTGAGTAAGAGACTGTCCTGGCTCTTGGAGAATGGTGTACCAGACTGGTATTCCAAGGTTAGAGTCAGGGACTGCCAGGTTGAAATGGTTTCCCTTGAAAGAAAGATTCCAGGCTCAAATAAGCTTGGGAACCATTTTTATTAAACACAGTAAAATGGAGTTCTTTGCTACAAGATTTCTCCAAGCCTTCAATACGCAAATGTATACTGAGAATTCTCCAAGAGGATTACAGAGACTATACTATATTTCCCAGAGATAGCTGATCTTAGGACAGTATTTTTAAGAACACATTAATAAAATACTTATTAAATGGAGAGCATATGGGGAAATGCATGTTTGATGCTATTTTTTTGGGGGGGGGGGCAGTAGAAGTCTTCCCAGAGAGGACATTTGAGCAGGGCATTGATGGTTGAGTAGGGGTTGATCAATGAAGACAGGAAGGTTTAGGGGAGACCAGTTATAGTCCTAGGCTGACTATGCCTTAAGTTACCCTGCATGTACTTTTCACTTAGTCCTCAAAGGTCCTGATGTGGGCAACAGAACCAAGGAGGTCATCAAAAGCCTCTGCTTAAAAACCCACTTTCCCCTCCCTTTTCTCAAATCACTTCACCTTGGGGGCCTTAGTACTGGCCTTGGTACAGCCCTCCAGGTCCACACACACACCTGACTGAACACTCCCCTATTCCCCCCACCGCTGGAGCTCAGCTCCTCCACACAGTTCAGACCCATTCTCAGATGGCGGTCCCGCCCCCTGCCTGGCCCTGACCATGTTCACATCCTTCTCTTTGTCTTTGCCCCCAATTCTGCCCTAGACCAGTGTGATGCCGGGCACTGTCTCCTGCCCCACAACCCCTGCCAGAGGCTCTGCTCTTGCCCAGCTCCGATTCAGCCCCATCCCCAAGGCTGCCCCGGCCCAGCACCTGGCCCAGCTCTAACTCATCGGCCCCTGCCGTCCCACCCCACCGGACACCTAACCTCAACCACGCACCTTTCTCTCCCCTTGCACCCCTCAGGCCCCGCGGGGTACCCACAGCCCGTGGCCCCGCCTCCAACACCCCGCCCTTGGCGACGGCCCCTCCCCGTCCCGCCCCACACGGATCCTGATAGGGCGCTGACCCTGCCGTGGCTCCGCCCGGCGACCACTGCGGACCCGGCCGGCGGTCCAGCCCCGACCCCGCCCCGGCCCGGTCCCGCCCCCACCCCGGGCCGCGGGCCGCGCACCTGCAGCTCCTCGAAGGCGTCGTCGATGCCGGTGACCTGGTGCTGCTCGTGCAGCGCGGGCTCGTCGCAGAAGAAGCAGAGCAGCGCGCGGTCCGTGAGGCAGAAGAGCTTGACCTTGTCGTGCGCCTGGCAGGGCCGCGCGGCGCGGCGCGCGCTGAGGATGGCGTCCAGCGGGAAGGCGCTGTAGCGCTCCACGATGTTGGCCAGCTTGAGGCTCGGCGCGAGCGCGGGCTCGGCGAACGTGCGCCGGCACTCGGGGCAGTCGCGGGCGCCCTGAGCCTCCTGCCGCACCCAGTGCTCGGTGATGCAGCGGCGGCAGAAGTAGTGCTCGCAGCCCAGGCTCACCGGGTCCTGGTAGATGCTCAGGCAGATGGAGCAGAGCAGCTCGTCCTTGAGGCTGCACGCCATGGCGCCGGGGGCGGCGGCGCGGGGGCCGGGAGGGGGCGCGGCCGGAGCGCGCGCGCCGCGGGGGCAGCGCCGAGGGCCGGGGGCGGGAGGGACCGGGGTAGGAGCTCGGCAGAAGAAAGGAGGGCTGTCCCGGAGGAGGGTGGCCGGAGGAGGGGGTGCGGGACCAGACACTGCCCGGGATGCGCGCTCGGGGGGTGCTGGTGGCGAGGTAGTGGGGACTCAGGGTGCAGGATGCTGGAGAGAGGGGCCGTGGGTGTTTGCGCGAAGAGGCTCCTGAGAAGAAGGTTCCAGGGCAAGGGACAGTCCGAAGGAATAGGCGCTGAAATAAGGGGGTGCAGGAGGGGGATGGCTGGACTTGAGGGGGTTAAATCCCGGGGTGGGTGCGGTGGGGGAGGGGGAGAAGCTGGGGATGGAGAATTCCGGGGGAGAGGGAGGCGGGCGAAGGCGCAGCGCGGCTGCACTTGGCACAGAGCGGAGGGGTGCAGACGCACGCAGCAGCCGGCCCCCGGCCCCCCGACCCGGCCCGAGGCGGCCCCTTACCCTCGCCGGCTCGGCTGCCACTGCTCCGACCCAGCGCAGCTCCTCAACCCGGAACCAGCCGAACCCGAGCTGCCCGCGGCCGGGGCGCCCTCCCCGCCTCCGGGGGGCGGGGCCCGGGCGACTCCGCCTCCGCGGCGGGCGGGGGAGGACCCGGCACGCGACCCGGCCTCCTGCCTGCAGACCCTGCTCTGCGCCCCCACCCTGCTCCTGCTCCCGGGGGAGCTCGGCCCAGCTGCTCCTGCAGGGTCTGCGCAAGAAATAGCGTCCAGGTC